AATAAGTATCTTTAACTACTGGACAACTTTTGACTTTTGCTACTTATACCAAAAAACTGTTGCCTTCCATAAAAAAATTCATTAAAAGAAAAAGACTAATTTTCAGGCTGACAGAAACGGTTTTTACTACTTACGTTAAAATTTTAAGACAGAAATGCACTTTAACTTTCTCTACAAAAAAAAAAAAAATAATAAAAATAAAATAACATAATGAAAAATTGTGTTGTCTGACTAAAAATATATACTACTACTGAATTATAAAAATTAGATAAACTTTCTCTAGTAATAAATGTCCTGTGCTACTGATTTTTTATTTTACTAGAATGGTTTTTTACTATTAATATTTAAGACTTAAATAAAATTAATGAATTGTGTCTGACTAATTATGTATTTTTCTACTGACATTAAGAATATTTTTTTCTTTAATAGTCTGGATTTCTCAAAAATCTAAGAAAAAAAGTCAAAAGTACAAAAAAATTCAAAATAAAAATGTCGAATTGGCAAAAAATCCAAAATAAATAATAAAACTTGTGAAAAAGCCACGTTTTTACTTTTTACGCTATAAAATAGGAATTTAAAAATGTTAATTTTAAAATCACAGGATTTTAATATTATTTACATAAATAATAAAATTCTACACAAAAATTCAATTATTTTCATAAATAAGCAAATTTCTAGAAAAATTTTGATAAATTTCTTTACACAAAAGTTAAATTATATTTTGTAATACAATTCCAATTAAATTACTCAATTAATTTAATTACTTTTAGAAATTTAAAATGTTAAAGTTTACCTACTTTCAATTTACAGTCATCGAAATGAGCAACTGAAAAAAGGACAATTTCATTCAGGACAACCATTTAAATTTTTACATCTAAATTTTTTTCATTGGATTTTTAATTTCTTTGGTTTTTTTTACCAGGGCAAAAAATCCAAAGAGAAACTATTTTTTTTATTTTTTATAAAAGTTTATTGAGAAAAAATTTCATTAAATTTAAATTTTGTTTTATAGGGAAAAAAGTAGTTAAAATTTATTCATTGCCATCGATTATTTATTATTTATTATTTACCATTTATATTGAAATAGAAAATGGAATTATAGTTAAGAGATAAAACTAAAAATCGCTGATAAATTTTATCAAATTAAATTCTGTTTTCAAACTATATTTCGACATATTCAACAAATTGTAAATCAAATCCAAAAATTTGTTAAAATTTTTGTAATAAAAAAAAAGTAAATATCGAATTTCTAAAAACTTTTTTTTTCAAACCCCTTAGAAGAATTGAATGATTTTTTTCCACTTTCTAACTTTATATTGAATCAAGCTCCCTGTAAATGTTTCTTTAAATTTAATTTTAATTCACAAAGTGAAGAATCGGTTGGATTTTCTTTACAAAAAAAAAAGAAAAAAAAGACAAGAAAAGGAAAAAAAGCAATATTGTAGATTCTCGTGAGAATTTGATGCGCAAGTTTATATATCTATAGTTGATTTCCGTCAATGGAAGAATTATAGTCTCTTCTCTTTTACTTTTCCTAGACTTATATGTGACCCTGGGGTCTGAATGCTATTCAACTATTCTTTTCCTATTCTTTAGGGAAAGTACGCAACTTCTTCTGATAAATCGAATACCTATTTTCGTTAACGAGTCGCAATTCTTTAACTTCTTCTCTTTTAGATGGCTCTCCACGATTTTCTATTCCAGAAAACTATGCTGAATAGTACTGGAACATTTATCTGGCTCCAAGTAAAGGTTGGTCATTATATGCAAACTGAATAGCTGACTACTCATCACTGAATTCAGCTTTCCAAGTGGAATTTCGAAGAAGTTTAAAATAATCCACGAGAAAAGGAGAAAAAAAAATTAGAGATAGAGAGAGAAAGGAAAAAATTTCCCCACAACCAAATTAAAACTGACTTTAATGCATTTTCTCTGAAAAATAATTCAGATGCTTGGTAATTAAATTTAAACTAAAAATATAAAAAATCTTTAAATATATTTTACCTACTTTCATTTTGTACCTCACTCTCTCTCTCTTTCTCTTTCTTTTTTTTCTCTTCCTATCTCTCTCTATATACCTGGCATTAAACTTCGAATGAATTTGCATAATTCAAAATTCAATATATTCAAATGAAAACTCCGAAGCGCAAACGTATGTAAATTTCCACTTCTTAGACTATGACATTATTTTGCTTTTAATGGAATTACATTTTAACGTTCTACTTAGATTTCATAATATCCAAATAATGAACAATGGAAAATCTTCATTAAGGAGCGAAAAAAAAGAGGAAGAAAAGAAAACTATTTGCAATTTTTACTTACAAATTTTTTTTCCCTCCAAGAAATAATTGAAATTACATGCAAAATTGAAGCAATATTTAAAAATTTTAATCCTAATAATTACTAATTACTGTAAATTATTATCAATAAACTGTTGAGTAAATATTTAGAAAATATAATAATTATATCCAAATATTTAATCTTCTATTGTAATTTATTATTACTTTATTTAAATAGAAAATTTTATCCAAAGTATTAAAAAAATGTCAAATTACTGGAAATCTTAAAGAGTCTATGAATTTAATTTTTTAATTTAAAAAATCCATAAGTATTACTACAATTTTTAGAAATAATCAATTATTTTATCACTTATTTTTGTATTTAAAATTTTAAGTAATTGAATTCTCGTACAATTTTGTCATAGGAATTAATTAAAAAAAGAATTTCAATTAAAATTTTAGAAAATATTTCAAGAATTGGAAGAATCGTAGTTGCAATTTTTAGAAATAATTAAATTTCAAAAAGTTTTACATTAAAAATATTTTTTAATTTTTATTCCTGCTGGACAAATATATAAAAATAAATATACAAATATTTATTGAACAAAAATTAATAAAATTAGAAAAATTTTATTTAGAAATCTGAAAAATTGAGGTTTTTAAAAAATCGTAATTACAATTTTTTCAAAATACTTGAATAACCGTAAATAATTTTAAAAAATTGAAAAAATAGGCAATTTTCTTAAATTTGATTAAAATAAATTTTTTATTCCAAAGAATTTTATTTTTTCCCTTTAAAAAAAATGCTTTTAAGCATATTATTGCATTTTATGAAGAATTGTAACTAAAAATTGGGAAAGTAATTAAATTTTACAAAAATTTTCTATTTAAATTTTAAATAATTAAATTTTACAAAAATTGTTGTATTTAAATTTTAAATAATTAAATTTTACAAAAATTTATGTATTTAAATTTTAAATAATTAAATTTTACAAAAAATTTTGTATTTAAATTTTAAATAATTAAATTACCGTTGAATTCTAATAAGAATTGATTTTAAAAAAAAATTTCAGTTAAAATTTTGAATAATAATTAAATATTAAAAGCGTTAAAACAAGAATATTAAGAAACAATTGAATTTTAAATGGTTTTTAAATTGATATTTTTTTAACATTTTAATCGTCGTACATGTATAATAATATTTGTTTGTTCAATTAAAAATAAAAATTATAATTTGTTGTTTAATATAAGAACAATAATTTCATGGATATCTATAAATTTGTTGACATCTATCGGCAGAGAACTTTAATTGAAGTTCTCGAAGTGAGTGCAAATTGAGTCGACATGCAAATCAATGTCTCGATTTTCTAGACTGAATTTTGCCAACATTCATAACTGTATAAGCGAGTTTAACCTATTTTCATGTTTTTTTTTCTTTCTTCTTTTTATTTTTCGTTTAGTAAACTTTCGGTCTTTCCTAATAGGCAGGAAAATCGATCGACATCATTTGGTTGAGAATTTTTTTTCCATTAAATTATGCAATCAAATATATATATAAGTAATTCAAACTCCCGTCACATTAATACTGAAAGCAACCAAATTTCTTTTTCCACTTTTTTTTCGTAATAAATCTATATACATATACATATAGATTTATGTATACATAAATGTACTTTCTTTTGAGAAATATGGAAAAGCTTTGACTTTGAATAATCAGCAAGTGTTGAGCTTTAAATTATCAGCCGCGTGTATTTTCAAAAAGCTTTCGCTTAAAACCTTTCATCTTTTTTTCCAGTCAGATAAACTTGCAATATTAGAAATATTTCAATATATATATTTTTTAAAATTTAATTTTGTCTGTTTACAAGACACAAGCTGCGCCAAGTTAAACAGAAGTATTCCAAAAAATAATGTTATAATTTTAGAGCATAGAAATATAAAAAAATAAATGAAACGAAAAAGAGAAATAGCTCTTTTTATTGAATGTAGAAAAAAAATATTTTTATCTACATAATATTTTTACTGATAATATGTTCGCTGTGGTTAGTGATAAAAATAAAATTCTACAATCTTGAAAATATTAACAATATCTTTATTAATTTTATCATATAAAAGTGACTATCCCCCACCTTTTAGTTTCGTAGATATAGTTGACGGTTGACGGTAAGTCGAGAAAGAAAACTATGAGTTAATTTAATTTCTTCAAGTATGAATAATAATTATAATTTATTGCAAAAATTATGTCCTCTCTCGAAGGAAACACATGAAAGTGCAATAATTTTAATAAACACGATAAACGAAATAAATAAAAAAATTGAAGAATTGAAGAAATCAAGGAATGAAATGCTAGAGACATTAAGACCGTTAATGAACTTTATGAATGATTTCAATACAAATTTTGAACATGAGAGCGAAAATTCACAAAACAAAGAGGGAAATTCTTCGGTTCACAATTCAGAAGCATTATTTAATAAAAATTGCCAACAAAACAAAGAATCAAAAAATAAAGAATTGGAAAATTCTTCATCAAATATTAGTAAAAAATCTTTTCAACAACAAGCGGAGAATGAGAAGAATTTCAAAAAAATTGCAAATCAAAGTGTAATAGATTATTCAAGACCGTCTACATCGAATTTCCAATTTTCAAAAACAAATAATCATGTTGATGAAAAAAGTGAAAATTTATTGCAAGAAGATCTGAGAAATAGAAAATTATCGAATCTGAAAAAATCGAATTCTGTGGAATTACTTTACGAGGAAATGAACGAAACTGATGAATTAAATGAAAGTAAAAACGAATTTCAACAAAAGCAGGTAAAATAAAATTTTAATTATATTTTCAAATAAATGAATAAATTATATAATTAACTCAAAAGATATTGTTGTAATTTGTAAATTATTTCCTCTTTTTCGAAATCGAAAAAGTTTTCGATTTCAAAACAAATTGTTTTGAGGGAAAATTATTTTGAGAATTCTTTTTTTTATGAAAAAAAAATTGATTTCTTAAATAGTTGAAATTATATTTTTTTAAAATACACAATAAAAGGTTAAATTTCACCACAAAAAAATTCTTATGTCATTAAATAATTTGACGTATTTATTTCGAGACAAATGAAAAGTGAAATAAAAAAATAAATTCACAAAAATATTGTTGTAAAAAAAAAATTATAAACATGAGGAAAAACAAAAAAAAATCAAAGTTAAATCTCTTAATTTTTCTAAATCACAGTCAAAAATAGGTAAAATTTACCTATTATAAAAATAAAAAGAAAAACATAATTTTTAAAATAGTTCCCACTTTTTTCAAATTAGATTTAGAAAAGATAAAATTTCACAAAGAAAAGAAATTTTTTTCGTATTATTAAAAGGTAAAATTTTCCCACGTGAAAAAAAATTCTTTCACTTTTCAGGAAGTGTCATTCGAAAAATCCGAAATAAATTCGAATGGCATTTCTTTTAAGATAAATTAATATTCAAAAATATTTTTATACAAAAAAAATTATAAAAATGAAGAAAAAAAAATTAAGTACCTAATTTTTTAAATAGTACACATTTTTTTAAAATTAATATCCAAAAAGGTATCATTTCGCTTAAAAAAAATTCTTTCACCTTTCAGGAAATATCATTTAAAAAATCCGAAATAAATTCGAATGTATTTTCTTTCAATATAAATTAATATTAAAAAATATTTTTCTAGAAAAAAAAATTTATAAAAATGAAGAAAATCAAAAAAACGAAACTAATTTTTTCTAAATAGTTCAGATTTTTTTTCCAAATAATATCAAAAAAGGTAATATTTCCATACAAAAAAAAAATCTTTCGTCTTTCAGGAAGTGTCATTTGAAAAATCAGAAATCGACTGTCGCGAAATTATAAAAAGAGCATATTTAGAAAAAGGATTTCCCGAGTCATCAATTCCAATAATGATGTCATCATTAACAGATTCAGAAATAAGAAAATACGAAAAAATCATCAAACTATGGTTTAAATTTTGCATGGAAAGAGAATTCAAAAAAATTACTCAAGTTTCACTCAACAACGTAATTGAATTTTTCGAACTCCTATCGCCCAATCTTGATATTGTTAATGACTTGGAAAATTATCGATCAGCACTATCGTTGATATTAAAAAAAGAATTAATGAACGATGATAACATGGAAAGATATTTCAATGGATTATTAAATTTTCAAAAATCAAATAAAAAACAATCCTCAAACTCAATAGACACTATTGATGATGTTAATTCAGAAGAGGTGAAAAAATTCATCTCAACAATGGGAGATAATTCATCACTAACATTAACGACCTTATCGAAAAAGCTTGTCACATTAATGAAGCTAATAACAAAATTAAGTTTTCGAACACTTGCAAATTTAAAATGGAAAAATATCAAAATCTATGAGGATTTAAAAATAATTAAAATAATGAGAGGTTATAGAATGTCCGATAAATTTGAACCACTGATTTTGAAAATTTCATTTAATCAAAATGATCATAGGGTATGTTTGAAGAATGCATTGGATGTATATCTTGCTAAGACAAAGAATTTTCGACGAGAAACAGATTTTTTATTTATATCGTTGAAACAACCTTATCGTCAATGTACTCCACAAACTTTATATCGTTGGTACTTGCATATTGTTAATAAAAGTAAGTGTGACAAAAAGATTGTGGATATTTATAATCATGCATCAAGTTCAACATCCAGTGTTTTGGAGAAATTTCGCGATTATCAATATTTAATTAATCAACAATAAAAATCTAAGTGAAATAAATATTTTTGATGCAAAAAAATATTTTGTTTTATTATTCACCTTTTGTTTAGAAATGCGTCTTTTTTTTACAAGACAATACAAAGTTAAATTTTTATTTAATTAATTTCTATTACTATTTACAATAAATTAAATACTTAAACCTACTAGTCTCAAAAATTGTCGATGGTTTATATACAGAAATGATAGAGCGAAATTCTCACTTGTGAAACAAGAATAAAGTTAATTTCAGAAATTATTTGAATAAAATAAAAAATTTTAATAAATTCTTTAAATATGAACCCTGTTTCGAATGAGATATGTAAAAGTGCAAATAATATAATAAATACAATAGAAACAATGGAAGCAACAATTGAAGAATTAAAAAATTAAAAAAAAACTGTATGCGTTTATACATAATTTTTCTACAAATTTGAAACATGAGAGAGAAAATTCACAAAATAAGGAGAAAAATTCTTTAGTTCAAGGTTCAGAATTATCAATTAATAAAAATTGTCAACAAAATTTAGAATCAAAAACTAAAGAATTGGAAAATTCTTCATCAAATATTAGTAAAAAATCTTTTCAACATCCAGTGGATAATTCAAGACCGTCTACATCGAATCAGATAAAATATAAATTTTATTTAATATTTACATTTTCAAATAAATAAATAAATTTTTACGAAAAGAAAGAATTAAAAAAATAATGAACATAAAAAACTTGTATTTATTTATTTATTTATTTGTTTATACACCCGTCTTAAGCCTACAATCTTGGCTATACAAGTGTTTGTTTACATCTCGTAAATTTCTCTTACAATATTTCTTTATAGACATTTTCCTTAATACTAAATTTTGCGCCTACAGAGCGACTTGAAAATTAGGAGTACTCGCATTTGCCTGGACCACCCGTCTAATGGGTTTTCTCGCCAGTGGAGAGGGAAACTCATAAAAAAAAAAAAAAAAAAAAAAAAAAAAAAAAAAAAAAAAAAAAAACTTGTATAAATAAATCATATCAGTATCAAACAGTTTAAATTTTAAAGTAACGAATTTGATCTGTAAAGAGCGGGATATCGTAACATAATTGATTGTTTGAAGAGAGTTACCTGAAGTGAAGTTTTAACTGAATTATCATGATTCAAAATCAACATAAATGACGAATAACGAGTTTTTATAACTATAAACTAAAATTATTTAATTTTCCTTACTTCATATAGATCAACAAAGTTTTTTTGCCTATAAGAAAAACAATTATTAGCTCTTAGATTAAAATTAGTCGATTTTTATCATAGCGTAACTTAAAATTATCTCAGCTAGAAAAAATATTTTATTACAACGATAATATTTTTAATAACTTAATTATTGAAAATTGGAAAAATTTAAGTTTTAAAAATAGAAATGAAAAAAAGTGAAATAAGATTATAATTTTAGTTCAATAAATTGTATTAAAACAGCGAGCGTTAAGTTAAAAATTATAACACCAAGCGTTGTTGCTTTCAACCATTTTATATTTTAATGATTTCCTATTTCATTAATAAAAAAAGATTTGGAATCATTTAAATTTTTCACCATAATTGATTTAGATGCACTAGTAATGTAATTATTGTTTAAATAAATTTTCTATGTTAAAACAATTTTTTATTGTGAATTAATAAAATTTTTAAATAAAACCCGAAATTAGCATTTTTATATCAAAATATCAACTTTTATTAGTACTACACATATAATTAATAATTAAATAATTTAAATTATTAATTAATATACTTATTAATTATTATTATAATTATAAATAATTTAACAATTAATATTTAATAATTAATTATTAATTAATAATTTAAATTATGTTAAAATAAATTTGTTAACACTAGTATTCATGTTTTTTTAAACAAATTATTATTGTTATTTAATAAAGTTTTTCATTTTTCACCTGGAAAATTGCATTTTTTTCTAATTTTCCAATTTATAGATTCTAGAAATTTAATAATAATTTATAGAGATGAATTATAAGAAAAATCTTGAAAATTGTTTAAATAAATTATTATTATTATTATTTACTAACTGCTAATTTTTTTGAAGAATTTCTGAATTTTTCAAAGTGCATAAATTAATTGCACTCAAATAAAATTATTATTATTGGAGATTTTAACATTTCTAGAACTTTAGAAAAAAGTTTTTTAAAAAATTAAATTTTAAATGTAATGAGCATGAAATTAATTTCCGGCATTAGATAAATTATTTTGTTACGCTTGTGCGCTTTTTATTTGAATATAGACCAAAATTATTTCTTTCCTAATTTTTGTTTTTTGTTTCATTTATAAAAGTGAATATCCCCACCTTCTCGTTTCGTAGACAGTCGATGGTTTATATTTATATATATACAAACATGATAGAGTTAAATTCTTATTTGTAGTGAAACGAGAAAGAAGAAAATACTGGAAACAACAAAAAAAGAAATATTAAAAAAAATTACTAAAAAATCTTTGTGACAAGTGAAAAATAAAAAAAGTCAAACAATTTGAAAATCAAAGTGAAAACAATTTTCAATCAAAATCGCAGGTAAAATATAATTTAATTTTAAAATGATTTTTTTTCTCTTATTAAAATTAAACTTTGAAAAAAGTTTTACAATTTTTGCAATATAAATTACTAAGCATAAAAATAATTTTTTATAAAAGAAAGAAATATAAAAATAATTAAAATCAAAGAAATAAGTAAATTTTTGTTTAAAGTTCAATTTTTTCTTTTTTAAATTATACAAAATTTATCTTTAAAAACAATTCTTTTTTTTTTAAGTAAAAAAAAATTAGATATTTATTTTAAAAGAAATTAATTATATGAGAAAAATATTTTTATTAAATAATTTTTTTTAACCTTTACTAGACTGAAGATTTTTTTTACATGAATAGACAAAGAAACAATAAAAAAAGTTAAAATTTCTCGAAATATTTTTTTAGATTTTATTCAGTGTCTCAGAATTTAAATTGTTGTTGAATCAAAAATGGACTGTTTGGATATTATAGAAGAAGCTTATTTAGAACAAGGATTACCCAAATGTGCCATTTCAACAATGATTGCATCAGTAACTAATTCAAGAATAAGGAAATATGGAAAATTCATCAAACAATGGTATACATTTTGCATCGAAAGCAATTTAAAAAAAATTTCTCAAGTTACAAGGAACAACTTAATTGAATTTTTTGTTGTTATGTCTCCTAAGTTTGTTGATGAGAATGACTTGCATATTTGTAAAGAAGCATTATCGTTGATATTAGAAAAAGAATTAATGAACGATCATTTTGTAAAAATATATTTTCATGGATTATTGAATTTACAAAGAAAGAAACAAGAAGTTGGTAACTCATCGGACAGTGAGATTAAAAAATCAAAAGATGTGTTGGAATTTATCTTAAAAATGGCACTTGATAAAACTACAGTACCCTATTTAGAATTAACTAAATTATCAAAATATCTTCTTACATTAATGAGAATAATTTCAAATTTATGTTTTCATGCACTTGCAAGTTTAAAATGGGAAAATATAGAAATCAATAACGTATTTAAGACAATTATAATAAAAGGTAATAAAAAGTATTGTAATTGTGACTTTTGTAAATGTAGTACATTGGATTTTTCATTTGAAAGTGAAAATACTTGGGATATATGTTTGAAAAATTTACTTGATGTATATAGAATTAAGACAAAAAAGTATATTTCAAGTAACAAAAGTTTTTTTTTTATGACTTTGGTAAAACCTTATCGTCCATGTTCAGCACAAATTTTGAAACGTTGGTACTTGGATACTGTTGATGAAAGTAAACCTTCTTTAAATGATGTGAATAATTTAAATCGTCCTTCCACTTCAGCATCAACAAATTGATTTCATTAATCAAAAATAAAAATAAACTTTTGTAATGAAATTATTTTTTCTATTATTATTCGCTTCTTGTTTATAATATATAAAAAAAATGAGAATACTTTTATAAATAAGTCAAATCAGTATTTAACAGTTTAAAGTAACGAATTTGATCTATAGTGAATGGGATGTCGTAACATAATTGATTGATTAAAGAGAGTTACCTGAAGTGAAGTTTAAACTGAATTATGTAAATTGTAAGTCCTAAATAGATCGAACGCTCCATTATCCAGAAGCTCTTAGATAAGAAATTTTGTTTTCAATCATAATGCAATAATTATTAAATTCTCAATTAATTCCTTAAATTAATTAATAATTATTATTAACTAATTATTACTATTGATCCAAATCAATAAAAAAAAACTATTAATCCACTTAACTCCTCTAAAACAAATTTGTTACAAGACATTTTTAATGACAGTATTCTATTACTATTCGTATATTATTTAATCAAAATAAAACTTTTTCTATTAATAAAAAATATATTATTATTATTTACAATAAAATAAAAATTTCAGAATCGAAATAAAAATAAACTATCACTTGAAATGAGAATTAGGTTTATTTACTTTTATACACAAAAAAGGAGGAAGCGAAAAGTTTTCACTTTTTGAAATTTTTAATTATTTATCTATAAAAAATGTAAAAATATAATGAAAATAATAAAAACATCAACTTGGATTATACCTATACTTCCTTGTTTGTTTAATTAGAATATTAATATAATAGTAATTTAATAACAATTTTAATAATTTAATATTTAATTTGAAAAATTAATTAAAAGTTCAACAATATTAAAGGCACAGTTAAACAATTTAATTTTAAATTAATTTAAAATTATTGATTATCAATAAAATTAATTTATTTTTTAATCTCGAAATATTTTTTTAAACTTTCTGAATATTGTTTAAATGTTTAAATTTTATTTGAAAAGATTAGATTTTTTTATAGGGATTTAAATATTGTGTCGTGTATTTAAATATTTATTTAAATGCTACTTTTATTTTTTTATTAATTTTTTATTTAATTATTTTAATTCTCTTAAATATTAATTATTAGAGTTTATATTAATATACAAAATCGGTAATTGTTCAATTACCATAAAATCTAATGATTCTATTTTTAGTCAATAGAAATATGTTTTTAAACTGAAAATGAAAATATTTTC